GCTTTGAACTCGTGGAGATGAGTCTTAATGACTTGAGGTCCAGCACTCTATCCGCTGAATCACCTCGCTGCCCCGTCCTTATATTATGGAACTTCTTATGGATGCTCCCTAAATTCCCTAACCTCCTAATTCTTCAGTTTCCTTAAATCCCATCGCTTCCTCCTATGTCTCACCTCAGCCACACACAAGGACAGCCACAGTCTAGATCTCATGAATACCCACAAATGTTCCACTCCTTTAATAAAAATATGTGCATTCATTCCATCGCCCCCTGTGCCTCACTACTCCTAAACTTATTCTTTTCTTCATCTTTATTTCCAGTCCCTTGAACCCCTAAGAAGTCCCTCAGGCCATTATCTCTGCTCAGATGTTGTTTTCTTTTCTTTCCTACCTTGACATTATATTTAGCCAATTCAACTCCATATTATCCTTTACTCTTGAATCCTTTACCCTGTTAGTCTATCACCACTCATCCCTTGCCAAACTTTAGCTTTGGATTATTCCTACTACCCACCTTTACTGCTCCTACACACATGCTATTGATTAGAGTTGGAGGAAGTCATACAGCTGCGCTGACTGATTAAATTCCTGTTATCCAGCTTGTTGGTTATTCTACAGCAAGTATTTCTTTAGTATATGGATCAGACAACATGGTTGTCGAGGCCCTTCTCAACTTTGAAATGCTTTGATTCTGTGAACTTTGGCTGGGTCCTCACTGCAGGAAGGCAATCTTTTTATTCCTCTCATTTATTTTCTATCTCCCTCTCCATTTAGGATATTTCAGATTTCTCTACAAGTACTCTTCATCCCATTCCCTTCTGTTTTCTCTAGCAGACTGCCTGCTCGATCATCTTCTCTCTTTGTTTCATCTTTAGCTTCACCTTCTGATTCCCTCTGTACTGACTCCAGACATTCGGAGTCTCTCCCATTCTTAAACATCCTATTGTCCCCTTGAGATGTCATCCTCTACTGCCCCTCCCTTTCTCAATCAAACTCCTATATAAATGCTTTGTCTCCACTCTCTCTCCTCTTACTCACTTCTCAAGCCTGAGCAGTCTGACCTCCCTCATCACTAAACTAAAACTGCTAGAACATCTCTTGCATTGGACTCCTTCTCTCTACTCACACAGCTCCCACCTTAATTCAGTCCCTTATCACCTCTCACCTAGATTATTGCAATAGCTTTTTAATTGTTTTCCCTGCCAGTCTCATCATCCTGGTCCTTCCTACACACTGCTGCCAAAGTAATGTTCTTTAAGTGGAAATCTGACTATGCCACTCCTATACTTAACCAGCTCCGGTGGTTCCCTGTTGTCTCTGGGATCAAATAAAAACTCCTCTGTTTAGGCTTTACAACCTAAACACAACCAGCACCCAGCCTATCTTTGTAGACTCATGGTGTATTATTCCCTCATCTCACACTCTACAATTCAGCCAAACTGTCTGTCTTCCTGTTCCTCACATACAGTTCCCCCTACCATCTTCCATCTCTGTGTTATTATATTGGGCATACCTGAATGTACTCCTTCCTCTCCTCCATTTTATCAGGATGCAGCTAAACCAGTACCTTCTACATGAAGCCTTAATCACTGTGGACCTCAATTTCCTCATCTGTAAAATGAACAGCTTAAACTAGATGGCCTCTGACGTCCCCTTCAGCTCTAGTTTCATGATCCAATGATCCTATGATCTTTGGACCTTGCTTGAGTCAGGAGTAATGTGGGCTCTAAAGCAAGTTCTAATGGAGTTTGTTACTGGGAAAGTCACTTATGTTTTCTGGGTCTCAGTTTCCTTATCTGTAAAATAGGGATAATAATATTCTCCCTCTCTATCTCTCAGGGTCATGGTGAGGAAAGGGCTTTGCAAAAATAAAGTACCATATAAATGTGAATGACCATTATTATTGCTATCCAGATATGACTTTCTATCATTCCATCAGTTGTGCCCTCATTTCTTGACTTCTTCAGCTTAATCTCTTGTTGCTCTTCAACATTGCTTCATTGTTTCAGCCTAGCCAACACCTCTTTTTCCTTATGTGATTTGCCAATTTCTATTGCCTTGCCTTTATTTTTATTGCTTCTCATATCCGAAACATTCTCCCTCTTTTCTGCCAAGCCATGTCTTTTGACCTAGTCTCAGTCTTGTCAGTCCTCTACTCTTCATCTATATGGTGGAGATACACAATCTATTTCCAAAAGTTTTTGAGTAATAGGCCTCTATTTTAATAACTTTAAAAAGCAACAGATCCCCATATGACAGTATTTGTACTCTTACTATCTGTTGGTTGAAGCCATGCATAACGAGGATCAGCTATTAAGTAATGCTTTTAATTTTCATTTTACTGATCATGACAACATCTATATAAAACTGAAAGAAGTATTTCTTAAATCATTAGTAATACTTATATTATTAGCAGACTTTTGGCAAGTGATAGTCATTGATGGATCATATTCTTACTATCTCACAGTTGACAGAAAAGATGCAACTTTTACAAGATGCCATTGTATTATCATCATCATTATTATTTTTACTACACAGAAGCATTTGGCTTGGTAGAGTAAAATGCCACCTTATGAGTTATCTTTACAGCAAGGTGTGTTCCAGTTCACTATGCAAGAGCATTCAGTCTTCCTTGGGATATGTAGCAATAGATTTAATCCTATTCAATAAACTTCTGGTAATAAACACCACACGAGACATAAATATTCTTGTCAAAAATAATTTGTTATTGTGATGGGGGAGATTCCTCAAGTTATCCAGTTTCCTTATGGTTGGCTAGATCTTTCAGACACTCCTCTTTGTGGATATACTGATTGCATCAAACCCCAAGACATTACAGAGACCCAGAAAGAGAACTGAAATTTGCAAAGGAGCTTGAGACATCAATCCACATAGGAAAGACCAAATGGCTGAAGAATGTCTATTACCCAGATTTTAATATGCATCTGAATAGACACCTTATAGAACTTATCTAACTGTATGTCTATCTGGACTAAACAGTACATGGACTGGGTCCAGGGTTGAAAAGAGAAATGGAGAGGCTACATTGCTTTAAAAAAGTACAGAGCACTTACTGATCTCAACCTTCCCATAACACCAACCACCCATTTTTTTTTAATACAAACATTTTACCATTATCATTAGCAAAGCGACCTGGAACACTCTCTTTACAGAGCTAAAAATGAGTCATATCCAGAGGGCCATGGAAAGGCACATGGTGGTCAGAGAGACTCCAAAGATGAACAGCAGTAAAAATGTCATCAAGGATAACAAAGAGGAGAAAACAGACTAGTCACATAGAGCGAAGGATGTCAGGTGGACGGCAAGAGTTTTCCCCTGACACCCTTGTGAGGTGCAGAAGGCCTCCAAAAGATTGTGTAGCTCTACTATGGCAAACTTTTGGGAGGACATGATCAGTGTTGTACAGGATTCACAGGCATTCCAGGATGGATAGCAATCTGCATCATTGAGGGGACCTCCCTAATCTTAGCAAATAGAGCCAGTTAGGTATTTGAGTCATATGTGTATTTGTGAGGAATATTATTTTTTCAGCCTCTAGAAAATATTTATATTTATTTATGGAATTGCATATGGACTCCTGGATACCCCAACCCCCATCCCCAACAGATTGGGAACTACTGTTTTATACATATGTGTGTATGTATACACATATGATATTTTATTTTGCATTTAGAATCGTTGGAATCATTGAGTACCAAACCTAGCTAGGATCTTCAAGACCATCATGATATAGAATAGAAGGAGCACCAATTCCACAGTCAGACAACCTTGATTCAAATTCTGGCCCTGGCACATGACAATCTGTGTAAATTGGGGCAAGTTTCTCAATTACCTGGCCTTTAGTTCCCTCATTTGCAAAATGCGGGGAAGGTGTTGGGCTACATAGCCTCTGAGTCCCTTTCCAGTTCTATAGCTTTAAATTGAATCATTTTATAGATGAAGATGCTGGGACCTAAAAAGATTAAGGGACTTATGCAAGATCATAGAGCTAGGACTAGAACTTTGTCGCTACTTTTCACAGCTTCCCTTTGTCATTCTTGTTTGTCCAACTAGATTGTAAGCTCTTTATGGGCAAGGTACCTTTTCTTTCTCGTAGTGTCCCCTAAATTCTATTATAGCTCAGTATGAACAGTAGATTATTGGTATATCCATATTATCTAACTAAATTCATGTTCCAATTGATTTTGGATAAACTTGGAACAAATGGTGTTCTTTGTTTTCACAATACTCAGTGCCTAGCATAGTGCTCCATATATGGTCGGTGCTTTATAACTGTTTCTTGACTTGAACTGAATTGAAAGCACCAAACAGAGAATTTTATAGTCTGGTGAACTAAATCAGTGCAGATCATAAATCCATATTTAAACAAAGTTTAAAACTTTATCCTTTTCTTAGGAGTTAGCTTTTTACCCTGAATTATCTAGATGATTAATTCTTTAGCAATGAGGTGGTCCCCCAACCTCCAGTGTAGAACGGGAATGGATTCATAGAAATCCATGGGCATTGTATCCCATTTAATTCAATAAATATTTGTTAAGAGTTGTAAGCAGAATGCAAGATCCTTAGGAGGCCTGCTTCATTTGGGGCTGTCTCCTCAGAAACTAGCACAGTGCCAAATAAGTGCAGGTTGAATTGAATTGTCTGCTGCATTCAAGACACTGCAGGAAAATTTCTCTACTTAATTAGGCTATCAGGGAAGGTTTTATGAAACCCATAGCAGTTGATTTGGACCTGGAAGGAAGAAAGGGATCTTAATAGATAGAGATCGAGCAGAGGAAGAGAAAGAGGCATTCTAAGTACAGAAGGAGAGAGATCACAATACTGCCCAGAACTGATCACTAAGGCTTAGCTTAAGTTGGGCTCAATCTAAGGCCAGGACAACATTTCTTTTATTACAGTATATTGAAGAGTTGTCTATTTTTGAGAGTAGAGAATGTGAATGTTGATTGTGGTTGTAAGTTTTTTGTCTGTTTTAGTAGGGGTTTCCAATGGAACAGAGAGTTTTAACGGAGTTTCCTGTTTGTGCAAGGTGCCTGGTTGAGTAAGGAATATCAAAGTTCTCAATCTGCAGAACAAATAAAGCCTGGGCAAAGGTAACAGAAATGTCTCCCACATTGTCCCTCCAGTGTTTCTGAGGGGCTGTTTATACCTCGAGTTGCATAACTGAGCACCTATGGCATGCATGGGCAATGAAGAAGAGGCACACCACTGGGGAGGCCTGCCAACTAGACGCAGTCCATTGACCTCTTTGTTTCTCCCCACTTTAGGTCATTCATAATTGTAGTTACACCTGGGTTGTCACCTGGAGAAAGTTGGAAAAGCGCAATTCATCAAGAAGATAATTCTAAAATGCAGATGTTAGGCAGGGAAACATTTGTATAATTAAAATGATTTTTTAACTTTTCTTCAAGATGTTTGCCTCTTATTAGATGTAGTTCTAGGCTGTGTCTGTATAACTAAACTGAATCAATAAAAAAGCAAATTTGGGTTTTTTTTTAAAGTTTGTTTTGGCTGCCTCAATAGCTGATCACTGAAAAATCCATGGGATTAGTACACTGTCCAGTTATTGCAGTTATTTTGACAACTTAACTGGATTATCCTTGAGGTGGTTCTACTCAGTGCTCAGCAATGGACCTGAACGTTCTGAATGTGGTTGGAGATAAAGCATATAACATCTCATTGCTAGAGAAATTGTCAACTTCAGTGCCTTCATTTTATAGATAAGGAAACCGAAGCTCAGCGAGTACAAGTGTCTTGATTCAGATAACACAGCTAATAAAGAGCAAAATCAGAATTATAATACAGATCTCTTGACCTTAGTCAACTCCCTTTTTTCCATGACATTAAGCTGTTTCTGGGCCTCTAGGTGGCACAGTGGATAGAGTACTGGGTCTGAAGTCAGGAAGACTTCTCTTCTTGAGTTCAAATCCAGCCACAGACACTTTCCAGCTGTGTGACTCTGGGCAAATCAGTTAACCTTGTTTGCCTCAGTTTCATCACCTGTAAAATTAGCCAGGGAAGGAAATGGTAAACCACTCAGGTATCTTTGCCAAGAAAGCCCCAAATGAGGTCACAAAAAGTTGGACATGACTGAAAAATGATTGAACAACAAGGTTGTTTCTAGAACATATGGACATGAGCTAAACTAAATTGATTCAAAGAGTATTGTTTATCCCTACATCAGCAAGAGGAGGAGTATAGTTGAGATAATTATAGAAACAATTTAGGCAAAAGCATTTATTATGGGAGAAAAACATGGTTTTTAGGGACCTATTGATCATATCTACCATAGAATTGGTCTCTTCTGTTTCCACATGCCGAACACTAAAGTTTATCAAGCCAATTGGAGATGTGGATATCATGTGGTAGTCAATGTCAGTGATGACATGGGGTTACAAGAATGAGAAATACAGAAGCAAGTGGCAATAAAGGCCAAGTAAAGCTGTGTATTTAATGGATAGACTTCTAGTTTTGGAATCAGAAGAACTGGAATTGAATCCTAGCTTTGATTCATACTACCTTTGTGACTCAAGATCAGCCATTTAAACTCTCTGTGTCTCAGTTTCTTCATCTATAAACTGAGGATAGTAACATTTTGCTGCTAAGTTGCAAGGGTGTTGCGAGGAAAGTGCTTCATGAATTCTGATGTGCCATGTTCATATGAGTAAAGCAGAGATATAATCAGTTACCTGATCAGTTTGACATTTGAATGCTTTATGTGATTCTTTCTTTTTTGTTTGTTTAAACTAATTTTTAAAAAATAAATTTCACCTTTTTTTCTTTCCTCTCTTGCTCATCCCATTGAAAAGAAAGAAAAATAAAACTGTTATAATAAATATTCACAGTCAAGCAAAATAAATCCCCCCAATTGGCCATAACCAAAAAATGTATGTCTCAGTTTCTACAGTGAGTCAATCACTTCTCTGTCAGGAAATGGGTAACCTATTTTATCAAGTGTCCTAGAATTGAGGTAGGATCAGAGTTTTTGAGTCTTTCCAAGTTGTTTGTCTTTACAGCATGGTTGTTATGGGATAAATTGTTTTCCTTATTTCACTATGTATCAGTTCATACGTGTTTTCCCAGGTTCACTTGAAACTGTTCCCTTCTTCATTTCTTACAGTATAACAGTACTTCATTTCATTCACATACCATAATTTGTTTAGCCATCCCCCACCTGATGGGCATACTCCCTTAGTTTCCAGTTTTTTGCTACCACACACACCATCACATACACACACACATACACACACACTGCTGCTATAAATATTTTTGTACACATAGGTCTTTTAACTTCTTTCTTGTGTATCTTTGTGGCAGAGCTAGTAGTGGTATCACTGTGTCAAATAGTATGCACAGTCTAGTAACTTTGGGGGCAGAGTTCCAAATTGCTTTCTAGAATGGCTAGACTAGTTCATAGCTCGACTCAACAGTGCATTAATATATGTTTCCTACAGCCCCCTCAGGATTTGTCATTTTCCTTTTCTGTCAACTTTGCCAATATATTGTGTGAGGTAGAACTTCTGAGTTGCTTTAATTTGAATTTCTCTTATTGTGGGTAATTTGGAACATTTTTTCATATATATATATATATATACACACACACACACACACACATACACACACACACACACACACACACATTTCTTCCCTTGAGAACTGCCTGTTCATATCTTCTGACTATCAATTGGAAAATGACTCTTATTCTTACATATTTCAGTTAGGTCCCTAAATATCTTGGAAATGAGACTTCTATCAGAGAAACTTTCTGAGAAGACCTTTTTCCTGTTACCTGCTTCCTTCTAATTTTAGCTGCATTAGTTTTATTTGTGCAAAAACATTTTAATTTTATATGCTCAAAACTGTCCATTTTATCATCTATGATCATCTCCATTTGTTGTTTGATCATGAAATCTTCCTCCAGCCATAGATCTAAAAGGTATTTTCTCCTTTGCTTTCCTGATTTGTTCATGATGTCACCCTTTATGTGACCTTTTTTTTTTTTATCAAAATTTGGAGTTTTCCTTGGTATATGGTGTGAAATATTGGTCTATAACTGGTTTCTGCCAGACTGCTTTTCAGTTTTACAAGCAATTTTTGTCAAATAGTGAGTCCTTACCACAAGAGCTGGGGTTTCAGGGTTTCTTAAATTCCAGGCTACTCTGTTCATTCACACACACACACACACATACACACAATATGTATGTATGTATTTATTGTATATCTAATTTGTTATACTTGTTGACTTGTTGACTTCTCCATTTCTTAACCAACCCCAAATCATTTTAATGATTACTGCTTAGTACAATTTGAAATCTGGTACTGCTAGACCTCCTTTCATACCACTCTTCCCCATTTGTTTCTTTGAGATTCATGACCTTTTGCTCCTACAGATAAATTCTGTTATTATTTCTTTCTAGCTCTATAATGAAATCATTTGGTAGTTTTTATTGATATACATTGAATAAGTAATTTAAGTAGTATTGTCATTTTTATATTGGTTTGGTTTATTAAGCATGATCAATTAATATTTCTTCAATTATTTATATATGTCTTTCTTTGTATAAAGAGCGCTTTATATTCATATAGTTCTGTGTGTCTTGGCATCTAGATTCCCAAGCATTTTATACATTCTGAAGTTATTTGAAAAGGCATTTCTCTTTCTGTTGGGTTTTGTTATATTTCCTATGATTAAAAAAAAACAGTTTTACCTTCTTAATGACATTTTCTCAAGCTAATTTTTGAACAAGAGGTTTTTTTTTGTTGTTGTTGCTGTTGTTTTTGTCCCTGAACATAGAAACCAAATGGGGAAGAAGAGATGAGATCAACCCCAGATCTTTGCTCTTCAGAGCAAGTCAGTTGGGATTAAAACTGCTTTCAGAAATTTGTAAATCAGTAATTATTACTAGGTGGATAACAGAGAAGTGTCTTTGTTTTGTGTGAGTATATACAGCTGAAGTCTAAATTTGGCTAATGTCCAAATGATTGATTCACTGAAATCTTCACCAGGAGGAATTCCTAGACTAAGGAACACAATGCAACATGGAAAAAGAATATATTTCAATTCTTGCAGCTAACTTTAAACTTCATGCTGACAGAGAACAATAGATTTAGAGCTGGAGGGAACTTAGAGACCACTGAGTTGGGCTTCCTCATTTAACAGACAAGGACACAAACACAGTGGTGAGGTGACTTGCCCAGGGTCACACAGCTAGTAAGTGTCAAGTGGTTGACCTGAGGGCAGATTTGAACTCAGGTCCTCCTGACTTCAGGGCCGGTGCTCTATCCACTGTGCCACCTAGCTGCCCCAGGCTTCCTCATTTAACGGACAAGGACATAAGCAGTGCTGAAGTGAATTGCCCAGAATCACAAAGCTGGTGAGTATTGGAGGCAGGATTTGAACCTAGGTCTTCCTCACTTCAAGCCCAGTGTCTTATCCATATGGTTGTCACCTCTCAAACCACTTCCCTCCCCCTGATCCTCACCTATTGAATGTTGAACATTAGCCAACACCACGGCTTACATCAAAGCATTTAATTAATATTCTAGTTTTGATATTAATCACGGCTAGCTTGTGAGAAAATATTCTTCATTTCTGCTAAGGAAAATCACAATATAGGCATATAGGTTAGAGAGTCAAAAGATCTTTCTTACTATATGGATTTTGATACACTAGACTGAATAATCAATGTGGCTACTGAACCTTGGAACTTGTCAAAGAATGGAAAGAACTCTCTTTTGGGGGCAGATTAATTATGACCTTTCGTGGGAGCAGAGGTATTGACAGGATGACCTCCAGAAACTATCCTCAGTCTTCCAGGTTCCTATATAACTCCTTACCAGTGCTTTCAACGTCCTGACATCCTAACTCTACCTCAAATCTAGTTCTTTCTGTGTTGCCATGAATATATGAGCTCGATAGTGGGTAAAGCACATATGCAGGAAGAAGAATACAATGTATGATTTAGAAAAGAACTTTTGACATGAGCTGAATGTGTAAGGAAAAACATTTAATAATCATAATCATGCTTATGTTGTTATTGTCATGATCATATTATTAAACTTAGAGTAATGTGAGAGAAAAAGAGGAAAGAGAGGGCAAGAGTGAGACAGAGACACAGAGAGAGAGAGAGAGAGAGAGAGAGAGAGAGAGAGAGAGAGAGAGAGAGAGAGAGAGAGAGAGAGAGAGAGATTCAGAAATACATGATGTGAATGACTGCTTGCCTCCAGGCTCCTAGGGCCTAGTTTTCCAATCTGGCAAACAGCTTGATGAGTATGTTTATTCAGCCACATTATCAGACATTCCCTTTTCCTGCCCAAAGAAGTCCCCTTTGAAGAAGTGGCTCTGCTGGGGAGCAGTTTCCCTTTGGAAAGG